GAGAGAGACTGAGAGAGAGACTGAGAGAGAGACTGAGAGAGAGACTGAGAGGGAGACTGAGAGGGAGACTGAGAGGGAGACTGAGAGGGAGACTGAGAGGGAGACTGAGAGGGAGACTGAGAGGGAGACTGAGAGGGAGACTGAGAGGGAGACTGAGAGGGAGACTGAGAGGGAGACTGAGAGGGAGACTGAGAGAGAGACTGAGAGAGAGACTGAGAGAGAGACTGAGAGAGACTGAGAGAGAGACTGAGAGAGAGACTGAGAGAGAGACTGAGAGAGAGACTGAGAGAGAGACTGAGAGAGAGACTGAGAGAGAGACTGAGAGGAGACTGAGAGGGAGACTGAGAGGGAGACTGAGAGAGAGACTGAGAGGGAGACTGGAGAGGAGACTGAGAGACTGAGAGAGAGACTGAGAGAGAGAGACTGAGAGGGAGACTGAGAGAGAGACTGAGAGAGAGACTGAGAGAGAGACTGAGAGAGAGACTGAGAGACTGAGAGAGAGACTGAGAGAGAGAGAGAGAGAGAGAGACTGAGAGAGAGACTGAGAGAGAGACTGAGAGAGAGACTGAGAGAGAGACTGAGAGAGAGACTGAGAGAGAGACTGAGAGAGAGACTGAGAGAGAGACTGAGAGAGAGACTGAGAGGGAGACTGAGAGGGAGACTGAGAGAGAGACTGAGAGAGAGACTGAGAGAGAGACTGAGAGAGAGACTGAGAGAGAGACTGAGAGAGAGACTGAGAGAGAGACTGAGAGAGAGACTGAGAGAGAGACTGAGAGGGAGACATAGGCTGTGTCCAAAACGCTAGGCATCGGGCCGCGTAGGGTGGATATGTAGGCATCGAGGGAAGGCCGCGTAGCCACAGGCGAGGTAGGAGGCGAGACGTGAGGTGGATTTGGACAGCAGCTGCCTTCTGCCTTCGTCACGTGACTACACAACTCAGAGCGGAGCGGAAGGACACGGCGGCCATGATGGACGGTAAAAAGTTCTAAATACGCTTTAATTAGGACATAAAAGTTAATTCTAATATCATTTGAGGCGAGAAATATCCCCCTCTATTGTCATATCAGGGGTCTGTTTGGAGATAAATTCGAAAATTTTCGGACTTTACCTCCAGCCTGAAGCTCCGGTGCTATAAGCTAACAGCCCAGTTAGCTGCAGTGCTGAAGCCCAGAACAGGCTGTCTAAACACGGGTCCACGTAATGAGAGCCCCCTGGATGTTTACAATCGTATTCTGAAAAAACAGAGGATGCTTTTGTTGTTACACTTTCTCTGTTATAACAATTGTATTGGCAGTAATCATTAGTTTTTACAAAGTTATATTTTATGTAAACAATGCACATATATGCAATAAATGATTATTAGATATGGATTATATATTTGCTATGGCCCTTGTTTGTGCATCACTTAAAAGTAATTTTATCAGACCTAAATGTATTAACGTGTGTTTGCTGATGAGAGAGAAACATCCATTTATCTATAATAATAACTGACACATCCATTTATCTATAATAATAACTGACACATCCATTTATCTATAATAATAACTGGAACATCAATTTATCTATAATAATAATAACTGGAACATCCATCCAACATTATTAGATCTATAATAATAACTGACACATCCATGGATCTATAATAATAACTGACACATCCATGGATCTATAATAATAACTGGAACATCCATGGATCTATAATAATAACTGACACATCCATGGATCTATAATAATAACTGGAACATCCATGGATCTATAATAATAACTGGAACATCCATGGATCTATAATAATAACTGGAACATCCATGGATCTATAATAATAACTGACACATCCATGGATCTATAATAATAACTGACACATCCATTTATCTATAATAATAACTGACACATCCATGGAAACATTCACAGACATCTGTAAAATGGAGTTGAACACAGATGTTTGACACTGCTCTTATTCACTTTATCTCTTGAAAAGCAAACAGACCGTTACTAATCACATTTGAGTTTAATGTATTCAATTATAAGTATAAGTATAAGTACTGCTGACAAATATGTAGTTGTGTAAATAATACCTCACTTTGACTCTTTACATTTCACACAAACAACAAAATCATAATAAAACCAACAAGTTTGATTTGTTTTCTTTATTTCCAGGTTCTCTGTGAAGTGCTGTCGATGAGACTTGTGTCAGAGGCAGACCCCCAGGACTCTGCTGCTGCTGCTGCTGCTGCTGCTGCTGCTGCTGTTGCTCCTGCTGCTGTTGCTCCTGCTGCTGTTGCTCCTGCTGCTGTTGCTCCTGCTGCTGCTGCTCCTGCTGCTGCTGCTCCTGCTGCTGCTGCTCCTGCTGCTGCTGCTCCTGCTGCTGTTGCTCCTGCTGCTGTTGCTCCTGCTGCTGTTGCTGCTGCTGCTGTTGCTCCTTCTGCTGCTGCTGTTACTCCTCCTGTTGCTCCTTCTGCTGCTGCTGTTACTCCTCCTGTTGCTCCTTCTGCTGCAGCTGTTACTCCTCCTGTTGCTCCTTCTGCTGCTGTTACTCCTCCTGTTGCTCCTTCTGCTGCTGTTGCTCCTCCTGTTGCTCCTTCTGCTGCTGCTCCTTCTGCTACATGTCTTCAGAGATAAAGAGCCCACTGTTCTAACTATTCATGACTGGTGATTAAAGGAAAATATTATATACAAGTTTGTTGTAGTTCATAATGTTTTCAGCAGTGAAGCAGGAGGTGAAGCAGGAGGTGATGGAGGTGAAGCAGGAGGTGATGGAGGTGAAGCAGGACGTGAAGCTGGAGAAATTATGACCTTAATTTCACCACAAGTCTCTGAAAAAGAAGAACACAAACATCATGCATTAAAACACAGCCCACATTTAGGATTCTTTTTACACTTCATATTCAACTAATACTATTTATTTGGGGCTTTGCAAAAAACTGGTTAAAAATAAAATACAGAAATCCTTACAGTATTTAATATTAGAGATACAAGCTTCACAGCAGGGGAAACAGAAGAATGATATCATATGATAGAAATATACACAAATAATCAAGTTATGAGCATGGCTAACCACTTTAAACCTGTGTTTGTGGAAGTGGGACTTTGTCTTCTGCAAATGTCTTATTCATGACAAACGAAACCTCTGTATAATGTGTGTTTACTATTTATTAGACTATTGTATGAAAAGGGCTTTATAATTATTCTTGGCCTATTCTATAATTCCATATGTCTAATATATACAGTTTTCCCAGTCTCAGTATGGGATTAAAAACGATATGCACAATCTATTGTATATGAATACAGAAAACATGTGTTAGCATACTATAGCTGCTGTGCTGCAGAGTGATTTTCCATGAAAACGTGACTTTCCTCAGTGTAGCTTTAATATTTAATCAGTGGGTTTGTTTCTCCCTAAAAGATAAAACACAACATGATTTTTCTTGTTCAAAAACCGAATCTGAATGAACTAGCCTCGTAGCATTAGCTTTTCGGGACTGAGCTTATTCACAGCAGATAACAAGGTTAAATACACACATCTGTGGCAGATCTAATTTATGTCTGTGTTTTATCATAACAGTCGTGTTCATAACTCAACAGTAAAGTATAGCAGTACTTACTATAGACATAACTTCACAGTAAAGTATAGCAGTGCTTACCATAATGTTAGCTCCAGCAGCTCCGAGCTGTTGTTTACATGTTAATGCCGAACGGAGTTCTGCGCATGCGCGGCCGTGACTTGGCAAAAAGAAGGCAGCGAAGCATACATCAGATGCATCCTTCATATCTGCTCCAAAAGTGGCCGTTTCCATAGAGACGAAGTCACGATGCCTACGCTTGGCGAGCTCGCCAAGTGGTTTTGGACACCCCTGCAATAGCCGTCGCTTGAGGAAGTGACGTCACGATGCCTACATATCCACCCTACGCGGCCTGATGCCTAGCGTTTTGGACACAGCCAGTGAGGGAGACTGAGAGGGAGACTGAGAGGGAGACTGAGAGAGAGACTGAGAGGGAGACTGAGAGGGAGACTGAGAGGGAGACTGAGAGAGAGACTGAGAGAGAGACTGAGAGAGAGACTGAGAGAGAGACTGAGAGAGAGACTGAGAGAGAGACTGAGAGAGAGACTGAGAGAGAGACTGAGAGAGAGACTGAGAGAGAGACTGAGAGAGAGACTGAGAGAGAGACTGAGAGAGAGACTGAGAGAGAGACTGAGAGAGAGACTGAGAGAGAGACAGAGAGAGACTGAGAGAGAGACTGAGAGAGAGACTGAGAGAGAGACAGAGAGAGACTGAGAGAGAGACTGAGAGAGAGACTGAGAGGGAGACTGAGAGGGAGACTGAGAGGGAGACTGAGAGGGAGACTGAGAGGGAGACTGAGAGGGAGACTGAGAGGGAGACTGAGAGAGAGACTGAGAGGGAGACTGAGAGGGAGACTGAGAGGGAGACTGAGAGGGAGACTGAGAGAGAGACTGAGAGGGAGACTGAGAGGGAGACTGAGAGGGAGACTGAGAGGGAGACTGAGAGAGAGACTGAGAGGGAGACTGAGAGGGAGACTGAGAGGGAGACTCACACACACACAGAGACACACAGAGACCGAGAGACACGGAGAGAGACACACACAGAGAGAGACACACACAGAGAGAGACACACACAGAGAGAGACACACACAGAGAGAGACACACACAGAGAGAGACACACACACAGAGACACACACACAGAGACACACACAGAGAGAGACACACACAGAGAGAGACACACACAGAGAGAGACACACACACAGAGACACACACACAGAGACACACACAGAGAGAGACACACACAGAGAGAGACAGATTTAAACATATCCTCCTTTGAGGCAATGACAAAGTGCTTCTTTAGTCGACAGATGCTGTGGATTTAAAACCAAAAGCACAATTGTCGTATCATTGTTTATCGTGGCTCAGCGGCAAATCCATGGTCTGGACAAGTGAGTCTTGGCACGGCCCGGAATAGCCCGGAATAGCCCGAGAAGCACGACTCTGGCACATGTTCAGGACCAAAGTGACTCATGGTGAAGACATTCTGCATGTTTGGAATGAGAACCACAGTCACTGATATTCACTCTGTGTTTGTGATGGAGAAGCAGATGTGAGTTTGGCCTCAGTATGTTGGTTACAATACTGTACTGTGTTGGCCTGGATGGGTATAGCCTGGTCTTACCATGTGTAAACTCTGGTCCATGATCATTTGTGTGTGTGATACTAGTGGTTCTTTGTTGTTGTTGGAGTCTACAGACCTCTGTAAATGAAATGGATGAGAGAGACCAGTGATTGTGTTTGGGGAAATGGGAAATGGAATACTTGGAATAACACCTGTTGTCAAGATGCTGCAGCTGAAAACCCTGACTTTAGCGTATAAAATGTAAAATCATTTAATTTAGCTTATTTGGGCCTCTACTCCCTATGCAATAACCGTTTAACACTGCACCACCATACAGAAGTTTAAAAGTTTGTAAAAACCCATAAAAACAACTGAATAAGATTCCTGTGGATTGACCTGTGACCCCTGTGTTGTGTCCAGGAGCCGTGGGGGCCCAGCCCCTGTTCTCCATGCCTCGACGGCCCGGCTATGGCACCATGGGGAAGCCTATCAAGCTGCTGGCCAACTGCTTCCAGGTGGAGATCCCCAAGATGGACGTCTATCTGTACGAGGTGGACATCAAGCCTGACAAGTGCCCTCGACGAGTCAACAGGTACAGATGTGACGGTTTCTCCTGCACTGGGTCTGTGTTTACTGCAGTGGGTCTGTGTTTACTGCAGTGGGTCTGTGTTTACTGCAGTGGGTCTGTGTTTACTGCAGTGGGTCTGTGTTTACTGCACTGGGTCTGTGTTTACTGCACTGGGTCCGTGTTTACTGCAGAATGAAGTATTCTGAAATATTATAATCACACATATTTATGAATATGCCTGTTACAATATGTATTTATTTGGATCCCCATCAGGGGATCTGGGGTCCACTCCACATCGGTAGATGTAGAGAGTATAGCTTTAAACGACAGCTTTAAAATTCACTGAAATGGCAGTGATTGAAATAATCTCTAAATCAGAGGTGTCAAAGCGGTCCTCAGAAGGCTGGTGTGGCTGCACCCGCCCTGGCCCTCTCTGGAACTAGTTTGACTCCACTGTTCTAAATGTTGTTGCATTAGTAATTGAACAGTATTATGACTAATGCTTTTGTTAAGAGTGTGTATTTTATATATTTCAGCCACACACAGGAGGATCACAGTTGCTGTTATCATAAAAACATACCTATAACATAATAAAAACCAGTGTATTTCTCACCTGGTAGGGAGGTGGTGGACTCCATGGTGCAGCATTTCAAAGTCACAATCTTTGGGGACCGACGGCCGGTGTACGATGGGAAGAGGAGTCTGTACACGGCCAACCCGCTCCCTGTGGCAGCAGCCGGGGTAAGGTTCATACATGTAATTAACATCATGAATCATACAGTATGTATCCGTTTAAATAGATATAGCTTTTATGATATATTAGAAGTTACAGGGTTATATGAGGACCGCCCTCTCCACTTTTTGGACAAAACTCTCTGGTCTTATTGGGTGAGCACATATCACCAGAATGATTGACAGTTAGGAGTAGGGATGCACAGATCCGATACTGGTATCGATATCGGCGCCGATACCAGAAAAAATACGGGATCGGATATTTGCGTAGAGAGAGGCGCCGTGCTGCCGATCCATTTTCTTTTCTTTCTTTTTAAAAAAAAATTATATATATTTTTAGTACATACTAGGTACCGCACAATGTCTTAAAATACATTGTGCATAATGTACATCTGACACGTCACTTCCTCGTGGCGCTCTACAACAACACAGCGTGGAGCAGGAAAGAGCGTTGTTCTCGCGGCGGTAAACTAGCAAAATACAACACGACTAAGCACCACGAGAAACAGCACGGGGAGTTTCTGCATCGAAAGGAGATGACGTGAAAACAACGAGACACAGATGACACTGACGCAGCGTCACAAAAAGCTTTTCAGCAACAACCCCAAAGTGTTGGAGTTCATCATGGGCTCGCAGCCCCATAGACCATTTGGAACCCAGGTCCATGCCGTCGCCAAATACACATCTGAAATCCACTTAAAGCTACGGTACTATTATTTATTTACATTTTCATGCAGCGTGTTTTGTTCTAAGTGTTTTTTTATTCAAACACAGTTAATATAAGTACATTTATATTCAGTAAATGTATAAGGAATAATACAGTGTTGAATGTTTAATGTGAACATTGAGCAGCTCTTTATAGTTGCAGTTTTGCACATTTATGTTGAATCCATTTTTATCTGGAAAGTTTAGCTTTAGTTCATCCACTGCTTTTGCAGTTACTTGAACAAAGAGTTCAATTATTAAATACATTTTAGCATGATCATTTCCGGTATCGGTCAATATCAGTATCGGCAGAAACCCATAGCTCTGGTATCGGTATCGGTAGTAAAAAAGCTGGATCGGTGCATCTCTAGTTAGGAGGACCAATAGTCTCTTTGATCCACCAAGAAGTAGAAAATCCTCCTATATACCTTTAACTATTTCATTTATGAGGGATTTATAATTTATAATGACTTAACAATTTTTTCACTTGTTTCTTAACTATTGAAACAAGATCAACATCACCCCTGTCCTGAAACTACTCCTCTGGCTTCAAATATCCCACTGTCCCTCCATCAACCACATCACCCCTGTCCTGAAACTACTCCTCTGGCTTCAAATATCCCACTGTCCCTCCATCAACCACATCACTTGTCCTGAAACGTGTCAGAATGTGCTCAAATTAGGCTAAAAACCATTTGATTCGAGCCTTTATTACCTCATATTTTATCATTTTTCATCAAGTGTTTTTAACCCTTATCTGCTTATCTTTACATTAGACCAATGTTTAAGTACCTTTCCTGTGTGCGTCAGGTGGACTTGGACGTCACGTTACCGGGAGAGGGGGGCAAAGACCGGCCGTTCAAAGTCTCCATCAAGTTTGTGTCGTTGGTGAGTTGGCACATGCTCCACGAGGTGCTGACCGGGCGCAGTATGGCGGAGCCTCTGGAGCTGGACAAACCCATCAGCACCAACCCCGTGCATGCGGTCGACGTGGTCCTGCGCCACCTGCCCTCCATGAAGTAAGCACAAACCCAGGGCTGTCCAGATATACTGTATGTGTGTATGTGTAGTCTGACCCAGGGCTGTCCAGATATACTGTATGTGTGTATGTGTAGTCTGACCCAGGGCTGTCCAGATATACTGTATGTGTGTATGTGTAGTCTGACCCAGGGCTGTCCAGATATACTGGATGTGTGTATGTGTAGTCTGACCCAGGGCTGTCCATATATACTGTATGTGTGTATGTGTGTATGTGTAGTCTGCCCCAGGGCTGTCCATATATACTGTATGTGTGTATGTGTAGTCTGACCCAGGGCTGTCCAGATATACTGTATGTGTGTATGTGTAGTCTGACCCAGGGCTGTCCATATATACTGTATGTGTGTATGTGTAGTCTGACCCAGGGCTGTCCAGATATACTGTATGTGTGTATGTGTAGTCTGACCCAGGGCTGTCCAGATATACTGTATGTGTGTATGTGTAGTCTGACCCAGGGCTGTCCATATATACTGTATGTGTGTATGTGTAGTCTGACCCAGGGCTGTCCAGATATACTGTATGTGTGTATGTGTAGTCTGACCCAGGGCTGTCCATATTTACCGTATTCTTTGCACCATTAGGCGTGGGCAAAAGTCTTTAATTTAACAATGTGCCTTATAATCTGGTGCGCCCTTTGTATGAAAATAAATGCATAATTTGACAGTGTTCCTTATAATATGGTTCAGCCTGACCCAGGAATAATCAACCCAGAGGACGGAGAGAAGGCCTCCCACTCAGTGAAGGCCTGTCTTTGCCTGATTTAATTTAACAATATTAGTCCTCAACAGTCTTTGTCTTATTAGAATAACCTCATAAGAAGCAGAAACATAAGAAGCAGAAACATAAGAAACGGAAACATAAGAAACAGAAACATAAGAAACAGAAACATTCAGATGAATTTCATTTTTACTGTTTTACAAGTTTTTGATTGATCAATCTCACAATAATCACACATTCTTCCTGCTTTTAAAACATTTGCATTTACTATAAAAGTGGCCATAGCTGCAGATCAAAGCCAGATCCTGTCAGACCTCTGAAGCTAAGCAGGGCAGGGCCTGGTTAGTGCTGTGATGGGAGACCTCTGGGAACAGCAGGTGCCACAGTGGGGCGGCTGCGTCTGTAAAGTGCCAAACTGTGGTTGTGTCCTTAGGCAAGACACTTCCCCCACAGCCCAGACTGGTTGCCTCGCTTCTGTCAGTGTGCCCCAGGGCAGCTGTGGCTACAGTAGTTTATTACCACTGTGTTTGGAGAAAAGGATAATGACGTGAAGAGACTTTGAACGTCCAAAAAGAGCGCAGTATAAAACTGATGCATTATTATTATTATTATTATTATTTAAGCATCATACTTTGCTCACACTGATAGTTATGCAATATTTTACTTTAACTAGCAATGAATTAAATCCTAATGGCAGTAACATTGATTTTTCTTCTATATGTAAATGTACTAAATAATCCCTATTTAAATCACACCCCATCAGGACTATCAGTTTATTCTTTCCACATTTCAGAACTATCCCTGTTCTGTAGTTTCATGTCGCACAGAGACATTACTGTGTCTCAGTGGCTTCGATGTGAGGAGGAAATGAAAATGGTGTTTGTCGAGAAGTGCACACAGAGACTTGATCCTACATCACCTTCTGCTTTAGTCTTTCTAATCCCAACAACAAAAGTATTATTACATAAAACAAATAATAACACATTAACCAGTTTTATTCAGTGTTTTTCAGCTTGAATCATACAATATTATTAGTAATTGTTAAAGAATGTTTGAATAGTAGCAGCCGTTTGCGTCACACTTACGATTTTGTGTTTGTGTGTGTGTGTGCGTGTGTGTGTCTGTGTGTGTGTGTGTAAGTGTGTCTCTCTGTGTCTCTCTGTGTGTATCTGTGTCTGTCTGTGTGTCTCCTTGTGTGTCTGTTGGGGTCTGTCTGTGTGTTTGTGTGTCTCTGTGTGTGTCTTTCTCTGTGTGTGTCTATCTCTGTGTGTCTGTCTGTGTGTCAGTGTCTATCTGTCTGTGTGTGTCACTATCGCTCTCTGTGTGTGTGTGTGTGTGTGTGTGTGTGTGTGTGCGCGTCTCTGTCTCTCTCTCTGTGTGTCTGTCTGTGTCAATCTGTGTGTGTGTGTGTCACTGTCGCTCTCTCTCTGTGTCTCCTTGTGTGTCTGTGTGTGTGTGTGTGTGTGTGTGTGTGTCTGTCTGTATGTGTGTCTGTATGTGTGTGTGTGTGTGTCTGTATGTGTGTGTGTGTGTCTCCTTGTGTGTGTCTGTGTGTGTGTCTGTGTGTGAGTCTGTGTGTGTGTGTGTGGGTGTGTATCTGTGCACTTGTTTTCAACTCCTGGTGGGTTCCATAACCTGAGATTCCGCTCACGTCATGGGGACTGGTTTTACGTGGTGGGGCCCGAACACCGGACCCCACTGGTCCAAGCTTAATAATCAATGGGTAATGCTTTTCTAACGGTCCTTATGCAGTCTCTGTAAAAATATGGAAAGGACCCCTGGAGGTTTACTTTCCTGAAAAAAGTGTGTTATGTGTCGGAACCCTGGTGGTGGGTTGCGGGATATCAAGGAGGGGCACACTGGGGCAATTTCAGTCCAGCCGGCTGGAGCCAATCATGGAGCAGCACAACAGAGGAAGTCAGGTGTCAGGCTAGAAAAGGTGCAAGTGTGTGGTTCATTAGGCTGCAGCCAATCACAGAGCAGCACACTGAAGCGCACGCTTACAAACCACTGGTAAGTGCTGACTACAAGTCATGACTTCAAATTGTTATATAGAATGATTACAAATTATTTGTTGTTTGTGCAGCTTAGTCAAGAGTCCCTAATTGATGAAGTCGACTCAGATTCTGACGATTTAACTGTCAAGAAGAAACCTGTAAAAAAGTATGGAAAAAGAAAAATCAAAAACACTTTTCTACAAGACTCGGAAAGTGACGAACCAAAGGCAAATAAGATTATCATGCAGCTGCAAAAGAAGAAAAATGGGGGCAGGGTTTACAGCAAGAGACACTTCTGCTTCTACTGTTCAATGTCCTGCCACAAAATGTCCCGTCATTTGACTAGAAAACATGGAAATGAAAGTGACGTAGCCAGAGCATTGGCTCTACCTGTGAAATCTAAAGCACGTAAACTTCAGTTTGATTTGATCAGGAATAGTGGAAACCGTGAGCACAATTTTGAGGTTTTAAAGGCCGGCATTGGAACTTTAGTCCCAGCTAAACAGCCAAATTCCCCAGTTAAATCCAGTGAGTTTTTGCACTGTATAGACTGTGGGGCATTGCTTAAGCGAAAGTCGCTGTGGAGGCATGTGGCCAGGTGCCGGCTTTCACAGAAAGATGCCCAGGCTAAACCAGGCTAAACCAGGTAGAAGTAGGGTCCAGTCCCTCTGCTCCCTAGCCCAGCCTGTACCGGAGGGCATCAGCAAAAAGCTGTGCTCTTTAATTTGGGCAATGCATCAGGATGAGGTCACGGGTGTTGTCAAAGCAGAAAAGGGGATTCTGAGACTCGGAGAGCACCTGTACTTAAAACACGGGCATGATAAGACTAAGCATGATTACATTAGGCAGAAAATGAGAGAAGTCGGTAGGTTAATTAACGAAGCAAAAACCGCAGGGAAACTGAAAACAATGAAGGATTTCTTTATTCCTTCCAACTTTAACCATGTGATTGATGCAGTCAGGTCTGTGGCTGGATATGATGAGGAAACAAATCAATACAAGACTCCATCCTTGGCCCTCAAACTCGGCCATAGCCTCAGAAAGCTAGCAGATATTCTTGAATGTGACTCAAAAATGGAGCATTGTGTTGATGAACTATTTATTAAAAACCTCCAACGAAGCCGGCTGCTTTTTGAGAAGAGGTGGAACGTCTGTGTTTCTTCTGCTGCCCTACAGACCCTCCGGCAAGCCAAGTGGAACACTCCGGACCTGCTCCCTCTGACTGAGGACGTTAGAGCCATGCATGCACATATTGAGGTATGTCGACCTGAATATGTGCAAACCCTAATAAGTGAGCCAACGTCTAAGCATTGGTCTAAACTGGCAGTTTTGACTCTTTGTGAGGTCATTATTTTCAATCGAAGAAGGGAAGGTGAGGTTTCAAAGATGCCACTGACAGCCTTTACCTTAAGAAGTAAGACTGGGATCCATTCTGACATTGCTCTGGGACTGTCCCAACTTGAGAAAAAGCTGTGTCAGCATTTTCAACGCATTGAAATTAAAGGGAAAAGAAGTCGGAAAGTGCCGGTTCTTTTGACTCCTGAAATGATTGCTTCGATGGAGGTGCTGGTGGAGAACAGAAGGGCCTGTTCCATCTCTGACCATAACCCATACTTCTTTTCCCGCCCGGGCGCAGACACCCACATCAGGGGATCAGACTCCCTACGCCAGGTAGCCAAAGAATGTGGTGCGGTGCATCCAGAGATGCTATCCTCAACCAAACTTAGAAAGCACATAGCTACTATGTCTACAGTTCTCAATATGAAAGAGAATGAGATGGACATACTTGCCAACTTCCTCGGCCATGACATTCGCATCCACAGGCAATATTACAGACTACCAGAGGGGACACTGGAGCTGGCCAAAATCAGCAAAGTGTTGATGGCCATGGAGCAGGGAAGAGTGACGGAATTCGAAGGAAAGAGCCTCGACCAGATACAAATTGAGCCTGAAGGTAATTCTTGATATTATTAAAATATGTATGATTTTTTTCAGATGCACCCCATGGTAGTGGCAGTGCCCCTTCTGGTAAGTGTACCAGGTGGGGGATTACAGCCAGGCTGCTTGGTCCTAACCCTGGGAGTGTATATTGCTAATATATTTTTATTTCTCTCCCTAGAACGTGTAAGAAAGCCATGGTCTGCATCTGAGGTGAAGGCTGTGGAGAAGACCATGACACCTTTCATACAGACTGGAAAGGTCCCTGGGAAGTCTCACTGCCTGGCCTGCATTAATGCCTCACCAGATGACCTTAGACATCGGACATGGAGTGGCATTAAATTCTATGTCAAAAATAGAATCACTGCAATTCGAAAAAAAAATCTAAAATAAAATTCCTTTAAAATAGTTGTTTGGTTTCTATTGACTGTTTTGTATTACTTAAAGTAGTCCCAGTAAAAAAAGATTATGTCTATGGGTCCCATTCTGAACGGCCCTGTCAAAGGGACCCACCAGGTAACACAAACGTGTATGTGTGTGTGTGTGTGTGTGTGTGTGTGTTCAGGTACACTCCTGTCGGTCGCTCGTTCTTCTCTGCTCCCGAAGGTTATGACCACCCGCTGGGAGGAGGGAGGGAGGTGTGGTTCGGGTTCCATCAGTCTGTGCGTCCCGCCATGTGGAAGATGATGCTCAACATCGACGGTACGAGTCCGCAAATAACACACAATAATATCAGTCAGGATTACACTGCAAAAATCATTAAAGGGCCTTAATCTGTCGTCATTAAAGGGCCCTAATCTGTCATAATAATAAACTGCTCTTTTCCAATCCTTCTTTAACTGATAACATTAGTTCAGAGATATTTGAATTTCTAAATTACTTTTCCAGCCCCTAAATCTTGTTATTGTTTTCATTTCGATGTCCCGCCCTCCACCGTTTCACCAATCAGAAAGTCTGTGATCCGGGCGCCAGATCTCACCGCGTGGAGCTAATCTCACTGGTAAAGTACCATGTGGAGCTAATCTCACTGGTAAAGTACCATGTGGCGCAGAACTAAAAAAGGTCTCGTTATGATTCTCAAATCATTAACGACAAAACAAGAAATAAAACCAGGATTTCTATCTTTGTGAAAAAGGTGTTGGTTATAGATTTGTTGTTGACTAAACTCTTGTCTATTCAGCTGTTATGGTCCCTGCTGGATTCGTCTGCATATCTGGCAACCTGAGTCAGGGAGAGTGGGAGAGGCTGCAGTACCACTTTTAGCCACATGTTTGCAAACTGCCTCTTTATTTTGAGCAGATTCTGACAGAGCTTTAAAACCAGATTCTCCATCACAGGCATGTCAAAGTCAAATACATCAGAGGGCCAAAAAACACATTTGCTTCGAGCCGAGGGCCGGACGGGTTCAATGTTTATTAACTCATTACCTGCCAGCCTATTTCAGAACAGGTACTCCATATTGCCAGCCGTTTCTGATGGTTTTTATAGATTTTTCAAGACCCACAGAATATTGTGGACCAGGACTATATGAATGGAAGAATGGACTTTCTACGGTCATCAGCAAAAATAATTTTGTTTCTAGCTTGTTTTGTTCCTCTGTAATCCCCAGTCGAGTAGAGGGCAGTTTTACTGAAATCACCAAAAAGCTGAGAAAAAAGAGGCACAACAAGTGCATCCTGTTTTCAAAACATCCAGACGCAGCGCTGCTGCCACCTGCTGGCTCGATAAAAAATGCTCTCAAGCTAATCCACATACATATTAGATATAATAGACATCTGGGAACATGAAAATAGCGCAAAACGCAATTGACGCATAAATGCGTCAATTGCGGGGCCATGGATAATTAATTCCTTGGGCCTTGACTTTGACACATGTGCTCCATCGGGACAAAAGCAAAAAGATACAGAAATATATTCCTTAACATGAGGAAATAAAGCAACAGTTCAATGAAGACTAAATGGCTTTGTCCCATTGGAGAATCTTGTCAGAATGTACTCAAATGTAGATCAAAAACTACACATTCAAGCAAGTATGACCTCGTATTGTTTCATTTTTGGAGCGTAGTGACTTATTCCACACAAAATACTCAGTCTCTTGAACTGCATTGAAATGTGATAAACAAATCCAAATCCAATTCTGTGGAGAAGTTCTTTTTATTGAGCTCCTTTGTGCGGCTGCCTCTTCCCTGGAACGAAACACACCGAACTTAGAAACGCATTGTTTGTGCTGTTTCCATGGCGATCCTTATTTCCTATACTTCCCCATGATTCCACTAAGGTTATTGTCATCTCTCGTACATACAAGACGTCCCCCAATCTCCTAAAGTAAATTAATAGTTTGGATTGTGACTCGAGTGCTCTTGAGATAAGGACAATCTCTGCGCTAATAAGAGCTCAGAGCCGCATGACAGAAGTGGAAAATGGAAATACACAATGTTTATGGCAGAAGAAACTCGGGCGAAAATAATGTATGAGCAAAGAAAAAGAGAGGGAGACGGGAAGAATGCAACGAGCCACTGTTTCCCAACGAGGGGTGGGCAAAATAAACTTAAACAATAATGTGAAAAAGCATATGTCCTTTTTATTTATTTTTATGCTTATCTCCAATACATACTCTTGGTTTTCATGAACCTGGCCTGTAGGGGGCGCATGAGCAGAGATGGGACAGTTTTGGTTCCATTGAAAACCATGTAAAGTCTGTTTTGGAGTCAAAAGGCTCTCTAGTACTCTAAGGGAGTACTAACAAATATTTCTCAAGAGTTTTGATGTTGTGCATTTTTGGAAAAAAACAAAACAGAAGAAATCGCTGCGTTTCATTGGGGTGGCCTGTAGGGGGCGCTTATCTGGGAAAGCCTCGCCCGCCTCATTCCAGTGATTTTATCAAAGTGTCCTCCTTTATATGAGACACAGTTGGAACATGAACAAACTCTGGTCTTTCTCTGTATTTGTGCGGTTGCTACAAGCGTACACCGCACACAAAGATGCTTCTTCTTCTACTATATCTGTGTATAAACCACTTCTTCTTCTACTATATCTCTGTGTATAAACCGCTTCTTCTTCTACTATATCTGTGTATAAACCACTTCTTCTTCTACTATATCTGTGTATAAACCATTTCTTCTTCTACTATATCTCTGTGTATAAACCGCTTCTTCTTCTACTATATCTCCGTGTATAAACCACTTCTTCTTCTACTATATCTCTGTGTATAAACCACTTCTTCTTCTACTATATCTCCGTGTATAAACCACTTCTTCTTCTACTATATCTCCGTGTATAAACCACTTCTTCTTCTACTATATCTCCGTGTATAAACCACTTCTTCTTCTACTATATCTCCGTGTATAAACCACTTCTTCTTCTACTATATCTGTGTATAAACCACTTCTTCTTCTACTATATCTGTGTATAAACCACTTCTTCTTCTACTATATCTGTGTATAAACCACTTCTTCTTCTACTATATCTCCGTGTATAAACCGCTTCTTCTTCTACTATATCTCCGTGTATAAACCACTTCTTCTTCTACTATATCTCCGTGTATAAACCTCTTCTTCTTCTACTATATCTGTGTATAAACCACTTCTTCTTCTACTATATCTCCGTGTATAAACCTCTTCTTCTTCTACTATATCTGTGTATAAACCACTTCTTCTTCTACTATATCTCTGTGTATAAACCTCTTCTTCTTCTACTATATCTGTGTATAAACCACTTCTTCTTCTACTATATCTCTGTGTATAAACCGCTTCTTCTTCTACTATATCTCCGTGTATAAACCGCTTCTTCTTCTACTATATCTCTGTGTATAAACCGCTTCTTCTTCTACTATATCTGTGTATAAACCCCTTCTTCTTCTACTATATCTCCGTGTATAAACCACTTCTTCTTCTACTATATCTCTGTGTATAAACCGCTTCTTCTTCTACTATATCTCCGTGTATAAACCACTTCTTCTTCTACTATATCTCCGTGTATAAACCTCTTCTTCTTCTACTATATCTGTGTATAAACCACTTCTTCTTCTACTATATCTCCGTGTATAAACCGCTTCTTCTTCTACTATATCTGTGTATAAACCACTTCTTCTTCTACTATATCTCCGTGTATAAACCACTTCTTCTTCTACTATATCTCCGTGTATAAACCACTTCTTCTTCTACTATATCTGTGTATAAACCACTTCTTCTTCTACTATATCTCCGTGTATAAACCGCTTCTTCTTCTACTATATCTCCGTGTATAAACCACTTCTTCTTCTACTATATCTGTGTATAAACCACTTCTTCTTCTACTATATCTCTGTGTATAAACCGCTTCTTCTTCTACTATATCTGTGTATAAACCGCTTCTTCTTCTACTATATCTCCGTGTATAAACCCGGCAGACTGCAGCGCCAGGATACGTCACGTGCTGTCCTACATTACGCTTGTTATTTGCACCACTGCCCTGACGTCATATATCTATGTTCCAACTGTGTCTCATACAAAGGACGACACTTTGATAAAATCACGGGAATGAGGCAGAGGTGGATCAAGGCTTTCCCAGATAAGCGCCCCCTGCAGGCCACCCCAATGAAACGCAACCATTTCTTCTGTTTTTTTTTCTTTTCTTCTAAAATGTCCAAAATCAAGACTCTTTTGAGAAATATTTTTTAGTACTTCCTTAGAATTGAGTCTCCGCGATTAAGACTGTTCCAACAACCGTACACCGCACAGGAGGAGAGCCTTTGACTCCCAAACAGACTTTACATGGTTTTCAATGGGAGCAACACTGTCCCACCTCTGCTCATGCGCCCCCTACAGGCCAGGTTCATGAAACACAAGAATAACTCAAAAACTACACATATCAAGTAATAAGATTTCAAACACAGACAAATCAAAGAGATAGTGAAGACACATTAGAATGAGTCTGGTGTGTGTGTGAATGGTTGGTGGTGGTGGGAGGGGCCGATGGCACAGACTGGTTGCCTCGCTTCTGTCAGTGTGCCCCAGGGCAGCTGTGGCTACGTTATTTGTTTATCATCACTGTGTTTGGAGAGAAAGAATGATGATGTGAAGAGACTTTGAGCGTCCACAAAAGCGCTGTATAAAACCAATGCATTATTATTTTTATTATTTTATTATTATAATGTTGTTGTTCACTAAGAGTAAATATCCACACATAGAAAATACACAGTATATCAGTAATTATCCATTTGACAAATAAGTCTGAACTAAATACCATGTATAGATTCTTAATGTGCTTTTCCACTCTGTGACGGTGGGAAATATTCACCAGAGAGAACAGGCAAAATACAAATGCATGTGTATGAATTGATCTATAAATAACTCAAACACACAAAAAAACACCACAATCTGAGACTTGGCACAACCACGAGCTCCCGCACACACACAACAACCCACATTTACTGGAGTAGAGGCACGTTTTCGTCGCCATCTGTTTTGAGTTGTGAAAATACGTTGAAAGTGGTTGTATGGCTGTGTGGTTGTGTGGTTGTGTGGCTGTGTGGCTTGTGTGGCCGTGTGATTGTGTGGTTGTGTGGCTGTGTGGCTTGTGTGGCCGTGTGATTGTGTGGTTGTGTGGCTGTGTGGCTTGTGTGGCCGTGTGATTGTGTGGCCGTGTGGTTGTGTGGTTGTGTGGCTGTGTGGCTTGTGTGGCCGTGTGATTGTGTGGCCGTGTGGTTGTGTGGTTGTGTGATTGTGTGGCTGTGTGGCTTGTGTGGCTTGTGTGGCCGTGTGATTGTGTGGTTGTGTGGCTGTGTGGCTTGTGTGGCCGTGTGATTGTGTGGTTGTGTGGCTGTGTGGCTTGTGTGGCCGTGTGATTGTGTGGCCGTGTGGTTGTGTGGTTGTGTGGCTGTGTGGCTTGTGTGGCCGTGTGATTGTGTGGCCGTGTGGTTGTGTGGTTGTGTGATTGTGTGGCCGTGTGGTTGTGTGGTTGTGTGGCTTGTGTGGTTGTGTGGTTGTATTGCCGTGTGGTTGTATGGTTGTGTGATTGTGTGGCCGTGTGGTTGTGTGGCTTGTGTGGTTGTGTGGTTGTGTGGCCGTGTGATTGTGTGGCCGTGTGGTTGTGTAGCTGTGTAGCTGTGTGGCTGTGTGGCTGTGGGATTGTGTGGCTGTGTGGCTGTGTGGCTGTGTGGCTGTGGGATTGTGTGGTTGTGTGGCCGTGTGATTGTGTGGCTGTGTGGCTGTGTAGCTGTGTGGTTGTGTGGCCGTGTGATTGTGTGGCTGTGTGGCTGTGGGATTGTGTGGTTGTGTGGCCGTGTGATTGTGTGGCCGTGTGGTTGTGTAGCTGTGTAGCTGTGTGGCTGTGTGGCTGTGGGATTGTGTGATTGTGTGGCCGTGTGGTTGTGTGGCCGTGTGATTGTGTGGCTGTGTGGCTGTGGGATTGTGTGATTGTGTGGCCGTGTGGTTGTGTGGCCGTGTGATTGTGTGGCTGTGTGATTGTGTGGCTGTGTGGCTGTGTGGCTGTGGGATTGTGTGATTGTGTGGCCGTGTGGTTGTGTGGCTTGTGTGGTTGTGTGATTGTGTGGCCGTGTGGCTGTGTGGCCGTGTGATTGTGTGGCTGTGTGGCTGTGTGGCTGTGTGGCCGTGTGATTGTGTGGCTGTGTGGCCGTGTGGTTGTGTGGCTGTGTAGCTGTGTAGCTGTGTGGCTGTGGGATTGTGTGGTTGTGTGGCCGTGTGATTGTGTGGCTGTGTGATTGTGTGGTTGTGTGGCTGTGTAGCTGTGTAGCTGTGTGGCTGTGTGGCTGTGGGATTGTGTGGTTGTGTGGCCGTGTGGTTGTGTGGCTGTGTAGCTGTGTAGCTGTGTGGCTGTGTGGCTGTGTGATTGTGTGGTTGTGTGGCTGTGTAGCTGTGTAGCTGTGTGGCTGTGTGGCTGTGGGATTGTGTGGTTGTGTGGCCGTGTGGTTGTGTGGCTGTGTAGCTGTGTAGCTGTGTGGCTGTGGGATTGTGTGGCCTGTGTGGATGTGTGGTTCTGTGCACGCGGCAGGAGGCGGTCTCGGAGGTCTCTGTTTACCGCCACAAAGCGTGTGTCGAAGAGAGAGGAAGTTGGAGGTTGGTAGGCTTGAGGCTCACGTGCTGGGAAACTGCCTGCTCGTTACCTAGGAAACCGTGTGTGTGTGTTGCACCCGGATGTGTGTGTGTTGCACCCGGATGTGTGTGTGTTGCACCCGGATGTGTGTGTGTCTGGGCGTCAGGAGCAGGGCAGAGGTTTTGTTTTTGCTTCCAAATGTTTCGAGTCCTCTTCGAGTTTGTATGGCTTGTTTCCCATTCTTTTTTTCCCCAATTCTGTCTGGTCTAAAATGGAATCATTTATCCAGTTATTATGAATGTGTGTGTTAGTGTGTGTCTTTGTGGTGCTAGGACTGTGTTGTTTGCGTCACACTTTTGCATCGCAATAAAAAGGTCCTGGGCTCAATTCCTGGCTTTTGTGCTGAGTTTGCATGTTCTGCCTATGCCTATCGCTGCCTGTGCTCCTGTTCCCCTTGCCACTAAAAACATTGCCAGGTTTGCCTATCTACCTATCTCTGCCCATCTGTGTAGGTTTCCTCCAGGTGCTCCTGTTCCGCTTACTACTAAAACACGTACAAAACATGTATTTCCCACCTTGTTTTCTCCAATTCTGTCTGGTCTAAAATGGAATAATTTACACAGTTTGTGATTGTAAGTGTGTGTCTTTCTTACTGTATGGTTAGCGTCACACTTCTGCGTCACAGTAAAAAGGTTCTGGGTTCAATTCCTGGCTTTTGTGCTGAGTTTGCATGTTCTGCCTATGCTTATCTATCGCCTCTTCCTATCTCTGCCTGTGCTCCTGCTCCACTTGCCACTAAAAACACGTACAATACAGTATGTAATGTGTGAGTGTAGGTTTCCTCCAGGTGCTCCTGTTCCCCACACCACTAAAAACACGTCCAAAATGTAATGAGTGAGTGAACAGATGCTGATAGTTGCAGGTTTTCTTCTCGCTTCTGTCATCACTGTGGAGAAATGTTGTGTTCATTTTGTTGAATTAAAATGAAATGAATGAGACGAAAACAAAATAAAAATGACTTTCTAACGACTACAACATTGACAAAAAGAAACTGCTTTTCGGTCAACAAATAAGGAAGTTACTAAACCTTTTCTTCTACATGTAGTCGATGCTTCACTGCTTCCTTTTGACTTCAAACTTAGAATAATGTGAGACTTGTTCATTCTTCAGTGTGTGCAGCGTGAGTCACGGCTCTTTTAACACGCTGTGAAAAGTGGAAATAACATGCAGTGACTTCTCTTCCTGTCGGAGGTTTAAACGCCTCATGCTAATCTCCCACAAGTCGCTTTGAATAATGTCGTCATGGTTTTGTTTGACTGAGGAGAAAGTACAAGTGAGACTCATCTGTCCACTGCTTTCACACACACTCAAAAACCTCTGCTTTTCAATCAGAAGTAGGTGAATCTGAGAAAATTAAACAAACCCAAACTGTTAACCCTAGTTCAAGCTACAGATTACCTGGACACATTTATTTAATTATTTATTTATTTTTGTATGTGCTGCTCAGATGAATTGCCACTGGTGGGATAAATAAAGTAGTCTGAATCTGAATCTAAATTAAAAAGACATTTTTTACAGCAGGATAAATGCCTGCTAGCTAATACTGCTAGCTCTGTCACAGTCTTTTATACTTTTAACCGACAAAAACACATCCACACTATTGTCACTTCAGAGATTCCATACGGTACAAAGCATTAGTTTGTTGACACTTAATATAAATAATGCTTTAGTTTTTTACACTGCTTTTGGGACGCTCAAAGTCTCTTCACATCATTATCCTCTCTCTCTAAACACAGAGGCGATAAACTGTTGATGTAGCCACAGCTGCCCTGGGGCACACTGACAGAAGTCCCTCCCACCACCACCAACCATTCACACACACACCAGACTCATTCTAATGTGGGGGAAGTGTCTTGCCTAAGGACACAATGACAGCAGACATCAGTGGGAGTCGGTGGAGAAAGTCTTGTAGTGGACTCGAACCCACGACCTTCAGGCTCAAAGGCCAATGCTCTAACAGCCCCCCTTGGTTAAATGTGTTAGCTGTGTTGGCTTCTAAACACGGCTAACATGTTTTGCTAAAGCCATTCTTTGGGTAGCAGCCGTAGATCCATTTCCAATCGTTTATTCACAATGAAGTCTAATCAGAATCATATCAACAAGGTTAATTTAGTGTTCTGATTCTATAAGTTGATTCTTTTAAGACCAGAGCGTTTTGTTTGGACCTGGCAGTTTTCCTTCAAAGTGGTCACCTGATGTTTGTGTCCTTGTCAGAAGTTTTACAGTTTTTACCTTGAGGCAGGACGACAGCGCCACCTGCTGTCTGACTTTTAGAAGTTAACAAAACACATCATTCTAAAAGTATCTTGAACTTGTTTTTGTATTTTTGTTTTGGACCCAGAGTCTGAATAAAGAGATGATGACGATGGTGTGTTTTTTTCTCTTCCTTCCAGTGTCGGCCACTGCTTTCTACAAGGCCCAGCCGGTGATCCAGTTCATGTGTGAGGTCCTGGACATCCACAACATCGATGAGCAGCCCAGACCCCTCACAGACTCTCACCGGGTCAAATTCACCAAAGAAATCAAAGGTGAGGAACCAAAGAACCCTCAAAACCCAGAGACCGACCTCAAAACCCAGAGACCGACCTCAAAACCCAGAGACCGACCTCAAAACCCAGAGACCGACCTCAAAACCCAGAGACCGACCTCAAAACCCAGAGACCGACCTCAAAACCCAGAGGGAGACCTCACACATAGACACGCACGCACACATAGACACGCACACGCACACATAGACACACACACACATAGACACGCACACACATAGACACGCACACACATAGACACGCACACACATAGACACACACACACATAGACACACACACACATAGACACACACACATAGACACACGCACACATAGACACACACACACATAGACACACGCACACATAGACACACGCACACATAGACACGCACACATAGACACGCACACATAGACACGCACACATAGACACACACACATAGACACACGCACACACTCACTCCTTTGATCCTTCTCAGGTCTGAAGGTGGAGGTGACACACTGTGGAACCATGCGCAGGAAGTACCGGGTTTGCAACGTGACCCGCCGACCCGCCAGCCACCAAACGTGAGTCAGTCTGTACTCATGGGGCCCACTGGGGGGGTGATGAGGGGGGGCGATGAGGGGGGGGTGATGATGAGGGGCGAGGACTCACGCATCCTCGCCCGTTATAGACTTTTTTAATTCAGTCGCTGCTGAAAAGTTTTGGTTTGACTTGAAAACTACTTGTCTCTGTATATTTTCTTTGCTCCTACTTTTTTATTTTTTATTTTTCCTTTTATAATGTTTTATTATTCATTTAAAGGGAGAAAAAAATCTAAATGTTTCAAAACAAGAGAATGACAGAGAAAATAATGTGTGACTGTGGGATAAAAAGGAGGAGGAGGAGGAAGAGGAAGAGGAAGAGGGAGAGGAGATAAGAGGGAGAGGGAGAGGAGGAGGAGGAGATAAGAGGGAGAGGAGGAGGAGGAGATAAGAGGGAGAGGGAGAGGAGATAAGAGGGAGAGGGAGAGGAGATAAGAGGGAGAGGGAGAGGAGGAGGAGGAGATAAGAGGGAGAGGGAGAGGAGATAAGAGGGAGAGGGAGAGGAGGAGGAGGAGATGGGAGGGAGAGGAGATAAGAGGGAGAGGGAGGGGAGGAGGAGGAGATGGGAGGAGGAGATAAGAGGGAGGGGAGGAGGAGGAGGAGGAGATGGGAGGAGGAGATGGGAGGAGGAGGGAGAGGAGAAGGAGGAGGCAGAGGAGATGGGAGGAGGAGGAGGAGGAGATGGGAGGAGGAGGAGGCAGAGGAGATGGGAGGGAGAGGAGATAAGAGGGAGAGGGAGGGGAGGAGGAGGAGATGGGAGGAGAAGGAGGAGGCAGAGGAGATGGGAGGAGGAGGCAGAGGAGATGGGAGGGAGAGGGAGAGGAGATAAGAGGGAGAGGGAGGGGAGGAGGAGGAGGAGATAAGAGGGAGAGGGAGGGGAGGAGGAGGAGATGGGAGGAGGAGGAGGCAGATGAGATGGGAGGAGGAGGGAGAGGAGATGGGAGGAGGAGGAGGAGATGGGAGGAGGAGGGAGAGGAGGTGGGAGGAGGAGGAGGAGGAGGAGGAGGAGGAGGAGGAGATGGGAGGAGGAGGAGGCAGAGGAGATGGGAGGAGGAGGAGGAGGAGATGGGAGGAGGAGGAGGCAGAGGAGATGGGAGGAGGAGGGAGAGGAGATGGGAGGAGGAGGAGGAGATGGGAGGAGGAGGGAGAGGAGGTGGGAGGAGGAGGAGGAGGAGGAGGAGATGGGAGGAGGAGGAGGCAGAGGAGATGGGAGGAGTAGGAGGAGGAGGCACAGGAGATTGGAGGAAGAGGGAGAGGAGATAAGAGGGAGAGGAGATGGGAGGAAGAGGGAGAGGAGATGGGAGGAGGAGGAGGAGGAGGAGGAGATGAGAGGAAGAGGGAGAGGAGATGGGAGGAGGAGGAGGAGGAGATGGGAGGAGGAGGGAGAGGAGATGAGAGGAAGAGGGAGAGGAGATGGGAGGAGGAGGAGGAGATGGGAGGAGGAGGGAGAGGAGGAGGGAGAGGAGGAGGGAGAGGAGGTGGGAGGAAGAGGGAGAGGAGATGGGAGGAGGAGGAGGAGGAGGAGATGGGAGGAAGAGGGAGAGGAGGAGATGGGAGGAGTAGGAGGAGGAGGCACAGGAGATTGGAGGAGGAGGAGGCAGAGGAGATGGGAGGAAGAGGGAGAGGAGATAAGAGGGAGAGGAGATGGGAGGAGGAGGTGGGAGGAAGAGGGAGAGGAGATGGGAGGAGGAGGAGGAGGAGGAGATGGGAGGAAGAGGGAGAGGAGATGGGAGGAGGAGGAGGAGGAGATGGGAGGAGGAGGGAGAGGAGATGGGAGGAAGAGGGAGAGGAGATGGGAGGAGGAGGAGGAGATGGGAGGAGGAGGGAGAGGAGGAGGGAGGAAGAGGGAGAGGAGGTGGGAGGAAGAGGGAGAGGAGGTGGGAGGAAGAGGGAGAGGAGATGGGAGGAGGAGGAGGAGGAGATGGGAGGAAGAGGGAGAGGAGGAGATGGGAGGAGTAGGGAGAGGAGATGGGAGGAGAAGGAGGAGGCAGAGGAGATGAGAGGAGGAGGAGGAGGAGGCAGAGGAGATGGGAGGAGGAGGAGGAGGTACAGGAGATGGGAGGAGGAGGAGGAGGCAGAGGAGATGGTAGGAGGAGGAGGAGGCAGAGGAGATGGTAGGAGGAGGAGGAGGCAGAGGAGATGGTAGGAGGAGGAGGAGGCAGAGGAGATGGGAGGAGGAGGAGGAGGAGGAAGAGGAGATGGGAGGAGGAGGCAGAGGAGATGGGAGGAGGAGGAGGAGGCAGAGGAGATGGGAGGAGGAGGCAGAGGAGATGGTAGGAGGAGGCAGAGGAGATGGTAGGAGGAGGAGGAGGAGGCAGAGGAGATGGGAGGAGGAGGAGGAGGCGGAGGCAGAGGAGATGGTAGGAGGAGGAGGAGGCAGAGGAGATGGGAGGAGGAGGAGGAGGCAGAGGAGATGGGAGGAGGAGGAGGAGGCAGAGGAGATGGTAGGAGGCAGAGGAGATGGTAGGAGGAGGAGGAGGAGGCAGAGGATATGTGAGGAGGAGGAGGAGGCAGAGGAGATGGTAGGAGGAGGAGGAGGAGGCAGAGGATATGTGAGGAGGAGGAGGAGGCAGAGGAGATGGTAGGAGGAGGAGGAGGAGGCAGAGGATATGGGAGGAGGAGGAGGAGGCAGAGGAGGAGATGGGAGGAGGAATGAATGAAACTATGAGCCTCACGCCATCAATCATTCACATGTTTCTTTGTAGAGCACGTTTAAAACATAAAAACACAGAATTATCTACACATAAACAAAAACGTGTCTCTTTCTACCTGTGATGTAAGGCTCATAGTTTAATATTCTCAAAATACTAAAAGCAATTCAAAAGGTTTTCCAATGACAGGCTAGCAACAGTTAGGCTAGTAAGTTAGGCTAGTAAGTTAGGCTAGTAAGTTAGGCTAGTAAGTTAGGCTAGTAAGTTAGGCTAGTAAGTTAGGCTAGTAAGTTAGGCTAGTACCAGTTAGGCTAGTAAGGCTTTGTGACTCTGGTCTGGGAAAGACGCTATATAAATAAAGATTGATTACTTACTTACTTACTTACTTACTTGCATGTTCTCCCTGTGTCTGTGTAAGTTTCCTCCAGGTGCTCCGGTTTCCCCTACCACTAAAAATATGTACACTAGGTCTAAATGTAATGAGTGAATGGATGGTGTTGGAGGCTGATGAATGGAACAATATCTGACGCTGAACATTGTAAAGCGCTTGGGGCGACCTTGCTCTGTAAAAATGCGCTATATAGATAAACATTACTTGATAAACCAACTCATGACTCTGTCTCCTCTTGCGTCTTTTCGTCCCTTTTTATAAACTGTTTTTCTGCCTCTGCCACAGGTTCCCGCTGCAGCTGGAGAACGGCCAAACCGTGGAACGCACAGTGGCTCAATACTTCAGAGAAAAGTACAGTCTGCAGCTGAAGTACCCTCATTTACCCTGTCTCCAGGTGGGCCAGGAGCAGAAGCACACCTACCTGCCTCTAGAGGTCAGTACCACTGCATCACACCTACCTGCCTCTAGAGGTCAGTACCACTGCATCACACCTACCTGCCTCTAGAGGTCAGTACCACTGCATCAGCCGGTCCTGCCTGCTTCATAAAAATATTTTAAAAAACGTTGTGGAGTGAGAAGAAAAGGTCCTCAATTATGTAATGCTTTGTAACTTTGTCTGTGAAAGGCGCCTTATAAATAAATATTACTTACTCACCCGTTATTTTGAGTTCCAATTTAAGTTTTTCCACAGTGGTTAGTGCTTGTGCCTCACAGCAAGAAGGTCCTGGGTTCGATTCCACCTCCAGACCGTTCTGTGTGGAGTTTGCATGTTTCCCCTGTGTCTTTGTAGGTATTCTCCGGGTGCTCCGGTTTCCCCTACCCCTAAAATAGATCTGGCATGTGCCTCCTGTACAGTCTGATCAGAGAGACACCCGAGAGAGGCCAGAGAGAGGCCAGAGAGAGACCAGAGAGAGACCAGAGAGAGACCAGAGAGAGACCAGAGAGAGACCAGAGAGAGAGACCAGAGAGAGACCAGAGAGAGACCAGAGAGAGACCAGAGAGAGACCAGAGAGAGACCAGAGAGAGGCCAGAGAGAGGCCAGAGAGAGGCCAGAGAGAGGCCAGAGAGAGACCAGAGAGAGACCAGAGAGAGACCAGAGAGAGACCAGAGAGAGACCAGAGAGAGACCAGAGAGAGACCAGAGAGAGACCAGAGAGAGACCAGAGAGAGGCCAGAGAGAGGCCAGAGAGAGGCCAGAGAGAGACCAGCGAGAGACCAGAGAGAGTCCAGAGAGAGGCCAGAGAGAGACCAGAGAGAGGCCAGAGAGAGGCCAGAGAGAGGCCAGAGAGAGGCCAGAGAGAGGCCAGAGAGAGGCCAGAGAGAGGCCAGAGAGAGGCCAGAGAGAGGCCAGAGAGAGGCCAGAAAGAGGCCAGAGAGAGGCCAGAGAGAGGCCAGAGAGAGGCCAGAGAGAGGCCAGAGAGAGGCCAGAGAGAGGCCAGAGAGAGGCCAGAGAGAGGCCAGAGAGAGGCCAGAGAGAGGCCAGAGAGAGGCCAGAGAGAGGCCAGAGAGAGGCCAGAGAGAGGCCAGAGACAGAGACCAGAGACAGAGACCAGAGAACATATAAAGATGACTTCCTTAATGACTCACACGTCAGTTGTAATGTGTTCATTTGTTGTGTGTCTGTGATGTCCAGGTGTGTAACATTGTAGCGGGTCAGAGATGTATCAAGAAGCTGACAGATAATCAGACCTCCACCATGATCAAAGCCACCGCCCGCTCGGCCCCGGACCGACAGGAGGAGATCAGTCGCCTGGTGAGTCTGCACCCGACCAAACCTCATCCGAAAATCCCATCATGCAACACAACAACAAGAGGAATCTGAAATTGGAATTACATAAACTCAAATTGGACAGAACGATGATTTAGTTTTTTAATCAAATTCTACTACAATGTTTTATGAAGAAAAAACTGTATTTTCAATCATGTATTGGTTAGAAAGGGTCTTGGTCTCTGTCTCTGGTCTCTCTTTGGTCTCTCTCTGGTCTCTCTCTGGTCTTTCTCAGGTCTTTCTCTGGTCTCTCTCTGGTCTTTCTCAGGTCTCTCTCTGGTCTTTCTCAGGTCTCTCTCTGGTCTCTCTCTGGTCTCTCTCTGGTCTTTCTCTGGTCTCTCTCTCTGGTCTCTCTCTGGTCTCTCTCTGGTCTCTCTCTGGTCTCTCTCTGGTCTCTCTCTGGTCTTTCTCTGGTCTTTCTCTGGTCTCTCTCTCTGGTCTCTCTCTGGTCTCTCTCTGGTCTCTCTCTGGTCTTTCTCTGGTCTTTCTCAGGTCTTTCTCTGGTCTCTCTCTGGTCTTTCTCAGGTCTCTCTCTGGTCTTTCTCAGGTCTCTCTCTGGTCTCTCTCTGGTCTTTCTCTGGTCTCTCTCTCTGGTCTCTCTCTGGTCTCTCTCTGGTCTTTCTCTGGTCTCTCTCTGGTCTCTCTCTGGTCTTTCTCAGGTCTCTCTCTGGTCTCTCTCTGGTCTCTCTCTGGTCTCTCTCTGGTCTCTCTCTGGTCTTTCTCTGGTCTTTCTCTGGTCTCTCTCTGGTCTCTCTCTGGTCTCTCTCTGGTCTCTCTCTGGTCTCTCTCTGGTCTCTCTCTGGTCTCTCTCTGGTCTCTCTCTGGTCTCTCTCTGGTCTCTCTCCGGTCTCTCTCTGGTCTTTCTCTCTCTCAGCCCTAGTTAATTAAATAAATAAATAAATCCAATATATCAAACATTTTGTGTTTTCTGAAATATATATAAACAGTCATGTTGTGGTTCTGTTTTGGTCCCGCCGTGGTCCTCCTCTGGTCCCGCCGTGGTCCTCCTCTGGTCCTGCTGTGGTCCTCCTCTGGTCCTGCTGTGGTCCTCCTCTGGTCCTGCCGTGGTCCTCCTCTGGTCCCGCCGTGGTCCTCCTCTGGTCCTGCTGTGGTCCTCCTCTGGTCCTGCTGTGGTCCTCCTCTGGTCCTGCTGTGGTCCTCCTCTGGTCCTGCTGGGGTCCTCCTCTGGTCCTGCCGTGGTCCTCCTCTGGTCCCGCCGTGGTCCTCCTCTGGTCCTGCTGTGGTCCTCCTCTGGTCCTGCTGGGGTCCTCCTCTGGTCCTGCCGTGGTCCTCCTCTGGTCCCGCCGTGGTCCTCCTCTGGTCCCGCCGTGGTCCTCCTCTGGTCCTGCCGTGGTCCTCCTCTGGTCCTGCCGTGGTCCTCCTCTGGTCCTGCCGTGGTCCTCCTCTGGTCCTGCCGTGGTCCTCCTCTGGTCCTGCTGTGGTCCTCCTCTGGTCCTGCCGTGGTCCTCCTCTGGTCCTGCCGTGGTCCTCCTCTGGTCCTGCCGTGGTCCTCCTCTGGTCCTGCCGTGGTCCTCCTCTGGTCCTGCCGTGGTCCTCCTCTGGTCCTGCCGTGGTCCTCCTCTGGTCCTGCCGTGGTCCTCCTCTGGTCCTGCCGTGGTCCTCCTCTGGTCCTGCCGTGGTCCTCCTCTGGTCCTGCCGTGGTCCTCCTCTGGTCCTGCTGTGGTCCTCCTCTGGTCCTGCCGTGGTCCTCCTCTGGTCCTGCCGTGGTCCTCCTCTGGTCCTGCCGTGGTCCTCCTCTGGTCCTGCCGTGGTCCTCCTCTGGTCCTGCTGTGGTCCTCCTCTGGTCCTGCTGTGGGTCCTTGCAGGTGCGCAGTGCCAACTACGAGGCGGACCCGTTCGTACAGGAGTTCCAGTTCAAAGTTCGTGATGAGATGGCTCAGGTGACGGGCCGAGTGCTGCCTGCGCCCATGCTGCAGTACGGCGGCCGGGTGAGCTCTGAGCACTTTATGGTACCTCCCTTTAACCATCACCATTCTGTGTGTGTGTGTGTGTGTGTGTGTGTGTGTGTGTGTCTGTTTGTGTCTGTGTGTGTGTCTATGTCTGTGTGTGTGTCTGTGTCTGTTTGTGTCTCTGACCTTTGTCTCTCTGTCTGTGTCCCTGTCTCTGTCCTATGTTTGAGTGTGTGCCTGTGTGTCTCTGTGTGTGTGTCTCTGTTTGTTTGTGTGTGCGTGTGTGTGTGTGTGTGTGTCTGTGTGTCTCTGTTTGTGTGTCCTTGTGTGTGTGTGTGTGTGTGTGTGTACATGTCAGTTGTATTATGACTATATTCATACATCCTGATCTCAGCAATAGCAGCTTTGTACAGTCCGTTTGCATAAACCCGGTGTATTTATCGTATGTAAATATGATCCTATCCTTGTTCTACTGGTTAGACGTTAGAACTGTATTAATATCAAAATTAAAATATATTGGAATATTTATTTTGACCAATAAATGTAAAAAATAAGCAGCTCTGGTCTTGTCCACCAGAGGGCAGTGGTGAATCCAAATAATGCTGAGTGTATCTTTCTATTTCTTCTTTGGGTTTTGTCTCTGTCTCAGCCATTGTTTCAGTTATGGTTATGGTTAGGGTTAACTAACACACTAAATCTTGCCAGTATAATATTCAAATATTAAGTGCGGCCTAAATATTGGTTCTAATCTCATTATTTTTGTTCATATTCGATGATGTTCAAATCTGGAGTTCAGTTTTCCCTGATAAACTGCTTTTCGTTGCATTGTTCTGACTTAAATGACAATTAAGTTGAATCTAGTCTAATCTAATATTGGAAAATTCATATATTCACAAAAGTAGTTATTTCAGAAGGCAGAAAATCAAACCGTTTAATTATTCGTAATTAATCACATTTCGGAAAAATGATGCCTTATTTTTCTGTAAATGTTTGTTTGAATGAAAAGATAAATGACAACATAGTGTTCTGTAGTTGTTTATTATAACAATAAACACGAGGGACATTTAAAACAGTCTGAGGCAGAATGTCATTAACTCTGTTTGATTCACAACCTTTTACTTTTGGGCACAACCAACATGAGCTGTTAATGAACGGGAAAATGTACGTACCCCAGCTTTAATTTAGCGGGTTTAGTTGCGTTTCAGGAGAAGACACGGACACTTCCTGAGGCTCCATAGATCAGCTTCAGCGGTGTCATGGTACGCACGGGTTACACACAGGTTACGCACAGGTTACGCACAGGTTACG